GAAAAACTTCTCAATTTACATAGTCCTTTCATAAAACTTACTTTACCTTGAACGCGAGTTAAATATTGAATAAATATTTATATAATTGATTATTGAAACGGGGAAAAAAGTCGGTGCATTCCATTATATCACGCAATCTAGCTGTCTCATTTACATCGTGTTTTTGTCTACCGGCTGATTTATGTTAGATCAAATAACATAAACATAGTTCTCATATGTGTTTACAAATAAAGCTGATTGACAAACATCAAATTAGAAGCAGTGGTTTTGAATACAGCTTGGAATATACACAAGCACTAAACATGAATGTATTTCAATACAGTAACTTCGTGTCCGCTAAGTTTTCCAAAATCTTGAAATACTTATTGAAAAAATAGGAAAAATATCCTGGGTTTTTTTTTCTTTCTTTTTTTGTGTGCAATATAATGTTGGTTTATTTTTCTTCATCAGGGGGTTTGAGTTGTGACAATAGCTAGTGGTAAATTCTCTTTGACAGGTACCTGTACTATCTCAAATGTTTGGAAAATAAAGCACCGAATTGGAAAAATCAAGACTATTTCCATAAGGATAAGCTCTTATAACGAAACTGCATGGAACTCCTAGGAGCAGTTTGTAGTCATCAATTCTACATCTCAATATATCACTATTCACTTAATTATTAATGACAATTACTGGGTAATAGCTTCAGACAGTATAGTGTAGTTATCAGACTGATCCACCTGATGGAAGTCACTCCAACAACCACCTGTGATAAAACTGCCCCTGGTCACATCCCAACCACATCTTAATAGCCGAATCAAATCAGCATGATCTCAGTAATGTAATATGGGGTTGGCCTGTCTGCACTCGCCACTATTCCGGGGAGTGCTTTTCCAGATTTGACCAGACCCTAAGTTCTAAACTAGGGGGAGATAATATAAGCTAGTAGTAAAATGCAGTTGAGAAATTTTTCATAAAAACTTAGGGGCTGGTAGCAAGTCTAGGGTCTTAGAAGCAGTATGTACATAATTTATCTACATTATTACCCAGGCCATTGTTGTAACAGGAATCTAGGATGATGTCAGCCAGAGGTTTAGAACTGATTCCACCAGAATTATCTCACCAATCGATGGTAGTTCATTGATTGGATGTGACTGTCAGCACACATAGCTATCCACCTCTGTAGCTTTAACTCATTCACCCCTGAAATTTCATAATGAACTATTCCAACCTTTGAATTGGAAGGGTTCAAATGTATCTCCAGGGGAGAACCTCATCTACTATAGACATGTCAATTACCAACTTGGATTTCCTCATTGTTCTAATGTAGATTATTAGAGTACATTATCTACTGAAGGCCTAATTACACTCTAAATTAGAATGAACACAAGACTGGTTTTATCATCTTGGTTTCCCTACTTGGTCCTGTTAAAAGGTCACCGAGCTCCATAGAGGTATTTGACATAATAAAAGCCACATCCCTCGAAAGTGCCAGTCAAACTATCATTCTAAGTAATTTTCCCAAATAACTACATCTGCAGGGCATTTATGAGGTTGAATATTGTTTTCTGTCATTTCTGTGCACTTGTCCCTTATAATCGCATTTTTCACGCTGTTTTGGGGTATTAACACCAGGTTTTAAACGTTTCTAGCCTCCTTTTATGCATAACTATTACAAAGGGAAAAAGTATCAGAAATCATCTTGTTTCCTGGACCAAGTTATCTTTTACTTGCGCTGTAATTGGCCTATATAAATTGTGATTAGCTTTGACAATAAAATGTCCTCATTCACAAAGTCTCAATTTCTTGGGATCATGACTACCGTATTTACTGTTATAGGTGCCTGCCCATGCCTAGGCCTGGTGATTAGCCCTCCTATCCCTAGCTCTGTCCCATTACGACCATTTTCCCCACTGACCCATGGACTTTCCACTAGCACAATATATAGTACATGATAAAATCCTGATTACTGAAGTGATTTTCAAAGCAAAATAGATATCATTCCCAAATGTAACAAAAAGGTACACAAACTGTCTACAATTGATAATTATCTACGGTACCAAATGCTTGCTATCTATGAGTATCATATATGAAGGTGTGAACTTAAAAGCTAGACAGATTGGAGGCACAGTAGTCTAGTGGTAGGATGCCGGGCTCGTGACCGAAGGGGTGCAGGTTCGAGTCACGTCACGGCACTGGGTTGTATCTTTCAACAAGATACTTTACTCCGCTTGTTCCAGTCTACTCAGCTGTAAATGAGTATGTGGTTGGGCAGTGCTAGAACTGTTGAATGCTAGCTATGAGCACTGAAATGGCAACAACGGCTGTATGCTCCCCAGGGAGTTGAGCTATAACCACGGATTATAATTTGTGAACCGCTTAGAGATGACCTACGAACCAGGTTGTGATAAAGCTGTATATAAGAACCTCAAATTATTATCAATATTATTATATACCAATATGTTTTACCTACAACATGTAAAGTATGAAATACTCAGTTGGCCAGTGATGTGACAGTTTAACCCATTCACCCCTGAAGACACATTTTAACTATTCCAATTCAAAGGTTGGAATAGTTCATTATGAAATTTCAGGGGTGAATGAGTAGAAACAAGTGTAACATGCCCTGGAAAGTACCCTGATAAGACTTAGCCATTGGATTAACCTGTACCCCAGCTCCAGGTGTACAATTGCTCACCTGTATACAAATACAGGTAAAAGTAGGCTAACTTATTATATAAATACAGGTATACGTACATGTAACCAGGTCTATTGACTCATCACTTTGATATATGTTTTTACTTTGACCAGTGTGACCTGTGACCTGTACCCCATGCCAGCTCCAGGTGTACAATTGCTCACCTGTATACAAATACAGGTAAAAGTAGGCTAACTTATATACATGTATATACAAATACAGGTACATGTAGACAGGTCTATTGACTCATCACTTTGATATATGATTTTACTTTGACCAGTATACGTATGACCTGTGACCTGTACCCCAGCTCCAGGTGTACAATTGCTCACCTGTATACAAATACAGGTAAAAGTAGGCTAACTTATATATATACAAATACAGGTACATATAGGTCTATATTGACTCATCACTTTGATATATGTTTTTACTTTGACCAGTGTGACCTTTCTGATACTTTTGACTCCGTCAGCCTGACACAGTATAGATGGGTGTTTACCAATAGTCGGGACTTATAAGGTCTGCCCAGCATTACCAGTGAAGCTTTGTCAAACTAAATCCATATAATTCAAATTAAAAAACAAAGTCTCAACATTTATCAAAATGTTTAAATTTCCTAAATTTATAAAACCATTTTTCATTTTCAAGAATTTGCAGCTTTATGTTTTAGACATCAATACTCATGCTATAAAAACCAGTGAAGCTAACAACACTTACAATATGAAATGGACCCTGAAGATAAGTAATTATTTAAGTAAGCCGGTCTCTTTACGGAGGCGATAGATCATTACAGGTGTGAGCACGGTAATGACTCATTCTGATGGGCCTGATACAGTAGCTGGCAGCGCTCTTTTTTGTTAAATCCTTTATTCATATTTATTTTCCACACTAGAAGCAGTCACATTTCAATGATTTTGTCACAAATATGAGCAAAGCAAGTTACACAAGTGTTTGCAAAGAAAAATATTAAAATTTTATTCAAATATAATTTTTCGGAGTATAACAGCACACTTAAAGGAGAACAATATATTTCTTTGTAAACATGAATATGGCAAGTAACATTCGTGTGTTTTTTCACAGGAAAATATTAACTTTTTATTTCAATATAATAACCAATTTTTTCTACAACATAAAAATGACATTCACACCTCTCTGTATAATAAAATCTAGCTATCAAATATGATTTTGTAATATGGCATTCATCTAGATATATATACGGGGAAATGAGACATACAAAATGTATCTAGATAAAGCGTATCTATATATCTACAATGTGTTTTAGCCATTTATTATAATGGCTAGGCCATTCAGCTAAGTGGTAACTGCAGTAAAACTGTCAAAATGTTTTATACAGCCTGATGTGTCTGATCAATGTTCAGTTCCCTTGCTAATTCAACATATATGTACGGGACCAAGTTAGCAAGTATACAAAACATCATTAATATTGCAGCACTTTGTCATCCTATCAAGTCTTGCCTGATATTTGACTGATGTACTGGAGGACACAGGTTAATGTTTTTTAGACACCAAGCCCAACAAATAGACAATGTAATGTGCTGACTGTTTGCAAAAGATACTGCACTGTTGTTGGGTGAGGATTATTTAAGAGATTGTTGTTTGAAAGTGTTCTTTTTACAAATTACCATGTATATGTCTTTATTTCATAATGCTTGTTTAAGGTGGACACATATAGAGGAGTTATGGTACCTGGTATAGAAGGATTGGGTTGATTGTCAGAGACCAGGTAGCTCAATTTGTAAAGCGCCAGTCTAGAGTTTGGAGGGTCCCCGGTTCGAACCTCGGTCTGGCCATGCATTTTTCCACTCCTATTATAGTGGTGCCTGTGACTTGTTTCAAACATTGGGTGTACGCTTGGCAAGGGGATACCCAAACCTGGGTTGTAAATAGTTGCGTCTTCAGGGGCGAAGACTAGGAAAAAGGATGGAGGAATGTAGTGGAACTGGACTGAATCGATCATTGGCGACCAGCTCAACTGTTAGAGCGTCCCTCTAAGAGTTTGGAGGGTCCCAGGTTTGAACCCTGGTCTGGTTGTGCATTTTTCGACTGCTATTACAGACGTAGTGATATTGTTGGTTGGTGGTAGTAAGGTCTAGGGAAAGGAGCGTCACTTTAAATCTTGAGAAAACACTTGTCATAGACCTGGTTTAGCCCAGTGATGAGAGACACATGCCCTACTAAAGACTGTGGACATATCTGTCATGATCTAATATTACTGGGTGTAGATAGACACTTACCTTGCGATTAGTTTGAGAACACATTTGGTATCATTTTTAGTGTATTTTGGGTTTGGATAGGCACTTACCCTTCTATAAGTTTGAAAACACATTTGTCGTAGATCTCATGTTGGAAGGTGGGGATGTCAAACGTGTAATCGAAGGTGAAGGCCTTATCCTTCCCCAGCATCACCTGCTGGCCGCCAGGTAACACTGTGGTACAAACTTGACACATGTCTATCCGCTCGCGCGCCAGCTGGGGACGGATTCTGAAAAAGAAAATATACCATTTTCATCTTTTATTATCAAGGTATAACTGTGTATGAACTTATTTACATCAGATATGCAGACATATAGTTTTTACGACAAAATTAAGATTTCAGACACTGTAACAAACGGGAAATTTAGGCGTCCAAACAAAGCAGGATAGAACCAATGTCCAGGTTGTTGTGGGCAATAAGTAGATTGTAATAGGAATCTTCAATGGATACCCAACAGTAATGACATTACAGTTCCATCTCAGAAGGTTAATACCAAGAATAAAGAAGATGGAGCATCAACATCTTGATTCCGTCATTTGTTAATTATATTGTTTACAGGTTTTGGCTAGTTAATTATAAGCTATAGGCTAACCTTCATCAAAAGTGGAAATTCGCTAATTTGCATAATTTACCAAATATATGTACACAGAAACATACTAAAGTATTGACAAACTGTTGAATATTTTATGCTGCAACATGCATGACCGATGCAAACTTGACACAACCCAAATGTTTAAAAAGTCAAAATGGGAAAATTTCAATCAAGATAAAAATGGTTTTAACAGCATTTGATAATGTTTTACTCTCACAAGTTGTTCATACTGACATATACAGAGATATCACAAGACTTTCATATAGACAGGAAATGATAGAGACACCTTTTGCAAAAATCATATACATGATATGTACATGTACACTAATGATTGCAAACAAATAGAAACCTTAAAAAAGAAAAAGACAAAGTTATCAATACTGCTACTTCTGGGTTTAACTCATGATCATTTACCCCTGAAATTTCATAATGAACTATTCCAACCTTTGAAATGAACGAGTTCAAATATGTCTTCAGGGGTGAATGAACATGAGTTAAAAAGGGCACTTCAGTACACTTACATATCATTGATGCATTTGACTGATTGAGTATGTATTTGTATCATTGCTAGTACAGCAATATACCAACATCTACAAATTTATTTCTGTCAATTCTTAATATTTGATAGGCCTCAAAATACCCCACCTTCGAATTCAGAACCCTCTAACATAACATACCAATATACCAATATATAAACTATGAATTCCATTGCCAAACTCATCAGATAACAACAAACTTGCTCAACAAATGCTAGCAGTAAATCAAGGTTTCAGCCGATCTATTCTACCAATATAAGCTCCTTCTGATTTTCGTACATATTCTGTGATACATTCTATCAAACACTCGCTAATTCAAATGATTGAGTAACAAGCCAGTGAAGCCACTGGTTAGGTCACGACAATACATGTAATTCCCGTGTTTGCTCTGTTCATGTCTAGACAGACACTTTGTATGCAAAGACCACTTGTCTTCCCAAACAAAAATTATAGCCGTTCTCTTCCTACACATCGTGATCAATAATCTCTCAATATAAAAAATTCTATATATATATATAATCCTTAAAAACAAAACTATTTCCACTTTAAGATTGTTTATCTCTCTAATCATGTAAATAATGATCATGTATGCTACCAAAACACTTCCCTTTTAGTTATTTGCATCGATAAGATACTCTGATAAAATTTCCACTTTTCATGTTCCAGGATATTTGTTATGGGACCCTAGAGCCAACGTGCATTTTGATGTTTCATATTTTTCGTTATCAAAATTGTTTTTCAAAGCATATATTATAACCGAGATTTACTATGTCACAAAAACAACCTCAATGACTCAGAATATTGCTAAGATGGAAAATAGTGAGTAGTTGACATACAATTATGTCTATGATTGAAAACGCTAACACATCTCCACCACACACGCAGGCATACACACATAGGGAGATATTAGCTAGGTGACATAGGACTAGTAGTTAGCGCCTGATAAGGCAGTTCCTGCGAATTCCTCAAAAATGGTATTGATTAATGTATATAATTGTATTAATTTCTTATCTATATGCTGTAAAGTGGCTTATGTTCCATACTATTCTAACAGAAAGCAGTTAATTATTTGTTTTTCATTTCTAGAGAAAAGTAAAACTGCCTTATAAAGCTAGGTATCTGTCATGTTTTATATTTTGTACAATAGTGTAAATGCACAACACACATTCTAGACCTTTAAACAAATGGGGTAAAATTAGATTTGACATCTGACATTTACATCCGATGGTCAGGCTCCTCAAACTGGTCATTTTTGTATGGACGTGGTTTTGTAGGCTTCTATAGTTAGTGATTTGTGTATTGATATATATAGCTTTGTAGGCTTTACATTTGGTGATATTTTCATGGATAAATTTAACATTGAAAGATCCTTCTATTACCGATATTTTGTATCGTTAGATATATATATATATAGGTCTGCAGGCTCCTATTAGTGATATTTGTATGGTTAGATATAGCTCTGCAAGGTCTTGTTGTTGGTGATATTTCTATGGATAGATACATAGCTGTACAGGTTCATGTTGGCGATTATGATATATAGATCTCTGCTAGCTCCTCCCTGTTGGCGATGTTGGTATGGATATATATAGCTCTGCAGGCTCCCCTATTTGCATTATTTGTAGGGTAAGACATATTAGCTCTGCCAGGCCTTAACTGTTAATCCATATATGGACGTAAGTCAGTTCATCTTCTTTTCCAGTCTAAATATAGCATTTATAGCGTAGATATCGGAGTGAGTCGGACAGATTAAGACTCAGTTGGTTGTGTGTATTCTGTAAGCTAATACTTTGGAGTATATCCAAAACTCCCCGATAATGTCCGTTCTATGGGAAGCTTTTGGAGATAGGGACGAGCTTATCATCCGAAGGCAAATACACTCTTATATGGAAATATGATGGTCAAGTATACAAACCCTGTTAGGATGTTCGTGTGCTGGCCAATGTTTGGAAACATTGGGGAGATATTAACTAGGTCAAGTAAATACAGTATTCAATAATTCGAAATGGATAGGTCTTAATAAATACTGAACATGGATCGTTATATTCCTTACAAGAGAAGGTATCTAATATTACAGATTATAATGTCACACATATATCTTGATTTTGGTTTTAATTTCACATGGATAGGGAAATGGACAGTCATGGGTCCATTTTGTAAATGAATAAAACAGAATTGTTTCAAGGTTGGTTTCATTCAATGAGTACAATATTAGTTCCTATCGCAAATTAATCCTCAGCACCTTTAATTTTACTCTCAACTTTCCCACAGGAACAAACTGTGCCTATCTTCTGGCCTACTTGTTTCTTGTCTCATATGAAGCGGAATTTAATGATGAGCTTAACAGGACTGGTAACAAAAACCTAGCCTAGTCCTTTAATTTTACATACAGATATATATCAACGATGTGCTGTCTTTGAATAACAAGAAATGTATTGACCATATTGATCGTATATGTATATACCCTCCGAGGCTTGAAATCAAGAACACCACAGACTCTTCAACTTCAGCCGCTTTCATCAATCTTTACTTACAACATGACCAACACGGACAGCTTACTTCTAAGCTGTAAGATAAGGGGGACAATTTCGACTTTCCGATCATGAACTTCCCCTTTCTTGATAGCAACATTTTTGCTTTTCCACCTAAGGTGTTTACAAGTTGCAATTGATTAGGTACTCAAGAGCTTACTCTGAATATCATGATTGCTGTGATAGATGATGACTGCTGACAGACAAATTCTAACACAGGGTTTCCAAAAATGAAGGTTCATGACGACTATTGACAAGTTTTATGGTCACTATCAGGATCTGGTAGGGAAATGTGCCATTTCTCTTGTGTGATATGAAGGTCAATGTTTTTTGATTATGCTCATTAGAGTGCCTTGTGGTTTGTTGTCACTACCCAAGTTCCTGATGTGAGACATTAATTGGATCTGACTTGAGGTATAATATTGTCTTCCATGAACATATATACTGCTTTATGGCCTAAATAAGTACTGTTGCAACTGCTACATGTATGAATATGATGGACTTGGGTTATGGAGATGAAAACAACCTTATGACCTTATGATCAATTACATTGACACTGCAGTCTGTTTCACTCTGTGCATGTGGCTGCCTGCATGACAAATAGTGAATCATGCATGTGATCATACTGATGACTGATCAACTAGAATTTGATCCTATCAATGTGATCATACTGATGACTGATCAACTAGAATTTGATCCTATCAATGTAATCATAAAGTCCCTGGTATTGACTTAAATGTATAGATTCATCTGTTCTATATATATAAACATTTTCAACTAATGTCAAAAAAAAAATACCAATAAGAATGCTGTATTTTTTCAATGAAAATTCATTATTTCATGTCAGGAAAACATTTATTGTACAAGTTATGTCATGAAATTTTTACATCACATTAATCTGGTTTCTTTCAAAATGGCCTAAGTTCATGTGCAGGACAAGCATTGCTTAAATGCTATCAAAGTATAGGATCATGATCATCTGTTCAGAATCAGCAAGCTGTCTTTTAATGTTGCATGATGTTTTAATGTTTATCTCCGACCAGAACGACAACAATGTGCTGAAATATTTCTGCCTTCCTAATGCTATGAGTATATATTAGATCATTGTGATCAGGACCCGGACATTGTTACAATCTGTGGGCTTAATAGAGGCTGGCCAGGCTTGTGGAAGCAGCTGACGTCAGCACCATTGATTTCCTAGTCCTCATCATCAACAGGCAGCTAGCTATAGGGTTCTATATAGCTAAGCCAGAGGCTGCTTTCACTGAAAACCTTTTATATAACACTGTCCAATGTGACAAACCAGAAGTTTTATACAGCAAGTCTGCATGCATTAGTATGTATGGTTACATAAGGCCTAATACACAATTATTTATCGTTACTTTGTGAAGAGCTGGTAACACATGTCAATGATATCAAATCAATCTTATATTGATACATTCGTTTTCATTCGTATTGTTTCCTTCTTTTGACATACATTGAGGATTTTTCTTAAATTCAATGCACCATCCACTTTACACTGCATGATTTGACAGCTGGATGAAGGGGAGCATTACACGGCACCTACAAATT